TGTCAGGCAGACATTGGTAACATCTTCCCCCCAGCTGCCCAAGTGAGAAACTTGAATATCATTTCTGCCATCTCTTTCCCACTTACCACCATCCTAACTACTCAGCAAATTCTTTCAATTGCACCTCCTCAATATCTCTTAAATATATCTATGAGCTCTGACCTGGATTATTAAAGCATCCTGACTTATCTTCCTATTGGCGTTCTTATCCCTTTCCAGACCATTCTTTATACTGCTGCCAGAGAAACCTTTCTAAATTTCAAATATGGTACTATTTCTACCTTGCTAAGTACTCCTGAATGGTGCCTCATTGTTCTCAGGAAAAAGTAAAAAATTCTTTAATGTGACGTATAATGACCTTTGTAATCTGAACCATGACTTTCTGTCCAGTCCCCTTTGTCATCTGATAACCATCCCCCAGGAGTACTCTCCAGCCACAGTGAATTACTTAAATGTTCTGTGATATTTTTTTTATGGTCTGGTTTTTTCACGTACTTTTTCCTCTGCCTGAATTCCTCTCTGAGATATCTTCACGAGTTCTCAAGGTTTCTCCTTCCAGGAATTTTAACATGCTGTAACAACATTAGGTAGGAATTGTAAATAGTGCTTAGCAAACATAAGCTTTTGCACATTCCCTAATATTTAAGCCAAGTACTTCTTTGGAATCTGTGCTCAGATAGAATGTATATTTTAATCTAAGAGAAATATGAAGAAAACATTTCATGAGAATTTTTTTTTGTAAGTTAATGATTGGGGTAATTTATTCAATGAAAGTACTACGAAAGGCTTCATTTATTCCTTTTTCTCTTTGTTCTAAGCATGTTAATAACTATTTTTCTCCTAAAAATATACTACTAGTGTTTAATGATATCAAGTCATAGCAAGTATCTTATGTCAACATCATAGAGCCATGATCCTGTGAAATGTTATATTGCATTTTCTACCTCTTGCTGAAAATTGCATTTATTCAGTCCCATTTTGGCTTGCCATCATAGGCTAATACTTACAGCCTTCAAAAAAGAACAGCCTTATATAAGGCATTGCTATGCGTACTAAGTACATTGTTGATTGTATTGTCTTGCACAGTATCCTCCCAGTGAGTGAGCTCATGGAAGAAATTTCCTTCTGGGCAAGGAATAAAGTATGGTTGTTATTCCTGAGCAATAAAAATATCTGTGCAATTGTGCAACAGTGAGCCTTCCCTATAACTATGTTTTCCTCTTCTCAGTAACTGTAAGATTGTGAGTAGGTTTCTTGAGTTAACTCTATGCCTTGCTCTGCCTTGTATTTCTACCCATATTTACCCCTTTGCCTCATCTTTCTTAGTTTAAATTTTATTTTCATTCTTCTATATTGTTTGAGCCATTATAAAATGTCACATTTAATTCTTTTTGGAATAAAGAGAAGTATAAGCCAATACACAGACAAAATAGTTGCCATGTTGAAACACTTATACCATATAGTTGCTGATATTATGTTGGTATAAATGTCAAAAAAAGGTGAAATGTCATGAAATGTCATATATGTTTCAAAGTAAAATTTTTGGAATAAAGAGAAGTATAAGCCAATACACAGACAAAATAGTTGCCATGTTGAAACACTTGTACCATATAGATGCTGATATTATGTTGGTATAAATGTCAAAAAAAGGTGAAATGTCATGAAATGTCATATATGTTTCAAAGTAAAATCCTGTCTTTTGGAAATTAAGATACTCTATAAATAGAACTGTTTTCACCTCTTGGACACAGACATCAGAGGATTGTTTCCACCCGACAGAATGTCCCTGTGCCTGTGTGTTGATTTGATTGATAGATGCATTGTTGTAATTAAGCAAGAATGAATTAGAATTCAGGCCATCAACGTAAGTTTCCCCTAGATCTAAGACTTTGAAGATGGAGGGATGTCTTTTTCTTTTCTTGACTAATCCAACAATTTGGCTAATCATACTGTCTCCTTAATTTCTCTTAAAATCAGTGGAGTAAATAACAGATGTGACCACCTGTTCTTCCTCCGTATAGTCTGTTGAGCATATGAACAGCTGCAGACTTCAGAAAGTCATAAATAAAACTTTCAACTAAAAGGTTAAGCAAACCTAGTGACCTGTTACATTTTAGTTGTCTGAATAGTGAAATTCTCTCTTCCAGAGAAGATTGCAGACTTGATAGTATTATAGTATCAGTACATTGCCAGGGTTCCCTTTTGAAGTTAACACCAAGTTTTACCTTTTTCCCTAGTTATAGTATATTGTCTCTCCAAGGCTAATAAAAATTTGTTACTAATTACTTAAAAAGATTTCTATTCCTGTACACACAGGAAATTTTGAGTATTATTAATACATTAAACTGATGATTAAAAAATGGAGATGACACTTTTTGGAAGGTATTGGATCATTGCATATTTAAATCAACTAGGGAAAGAAGCCTTGTGTATAATCACTGGCAAGCAGTAATTGAAGTTGTGTGAAGAAAATATGTTTTATTATTATTTCAGTATTACATGGTCCTGGATATTCATGAGGAATAACTGATATAAAACAAAATAAATCTCTTTGCAACGTGATTTTAAAGTGTCAATAATCAAACATCTTAGTTTAATTTGCTAATAGTCTTCTTCTAGGAATTACTTTCACAAAGATATTTGTTGTCAGTACAGAATATATTTTATGCCTTGGTCATCTATTTTTTTCCAGGTAGTTTTTAACCAATGATACACAATTTTCAATTATCATTTGTAATGACAGAAAGAGAGCATAAACAAAATCCACATTTAGTCATGAGTTAATCTTCCCAAAGCTCACTATAGAAATGTTATGAAATAAGATATTTTGTAAAAATAAAAAGGAAGAAAACTGGTTTAGTAATAGTTCAAGTGAAAACAATCTAGGGTAATTAAATGAGCTGGCCATTTGCTGTTGCTGCTAAAATGGCACGATGGGCTGATTCATCACACACACAAGATACAAAGATCAGATCCTGATCACAAAAAGTATAGTGAAAAATTTTTGCTCTGACCACGATTCAACTAAAGGATTATGTTCAGTTCTCAACAAGTTTGAAGAGGGATATTGATGTTTACAAATTAATGTTCCAAAGAAGATTTCTGATTTCTTCAGAAATACAGATGGAGAAAACAAAACCCAGAAATCCTTCTGTGCTACAGTAGTAATTTTTTTGAACAAACGTTCAAATCTTATTGCCTTCCAGGTACTGTGCGAGACTTTCGTTCCTTTGATGCTCACAACGACTTTGTTAAATGGGTGTTTAACATTACTGAAATATATAGAAAGGAGCTCAGGATGATTGGCTTGGAGGAAAGAAGACAATGAAAAGAAATAATGCTGTTTAAATATTTGAAGGATCGATATATAAATAAGGCAGTTACTTTGCATTAGTTGCTCCAGAGGGCAGAAGTAATATTCATGGTTAGGAATTATAGGGTGGAAGCTTTCAAACTCTTTTGAAAGAACTTTCTAAATTGAGTTGGAAAATGGTTAAACAGATACTTTGTGAGATAACGAGCTTCCTCCCACTAAATGATTTTAAACCCGAAGTTGAACCCCCTCCTCCAAAACTGTTTTAAAGAAGATTGATTACTGGATGGAAGATCTCATCATGTGACTTCTGAGGTCCCTTCCAAAGTTAACAATCTATGTTTCTATTATAGATTTACGTCAGTTTTCAATTTCCCATTTTCCCTTGAACATTGAAAGCTACAAATTAGCATTTACCCAGGCAACCAAAAAACACCAGAGGAGAGTACAGAGGTTCTGCAGTGCCCAAAGAGAAAACTGGATGCTCAGTCGGCCTTTGCATTTTCCTAATGATGTTGGAGAAGACGGGGTAAAGAAAACATGCAGCCTAAGTAAGTGTCACCCTTCTTTCTGTAGCTATACAGGGGCCTACATTATGTGTGCAGGGAGCACTGGCATAACTTATCTGGAGCCTCATGGACTGTGCTGTGGACAGCTTCTCCAATGAGAGGAACTTTAAAAGACAAAGAGGGCCACTGCCTGCAGGAGAGAAGAGGCTATCTTTGCCACAGAATAAGCCCCTAAGATCATTTACAGTGCTTGTAACTTTTTAAAAAAAAATTTTTTTTCCTCAAGCCGAACTGTATCCAGCTTTATTAAAGACACTTTTCATAACCACTATGGTATTTCAGGCGGGACATGGGCAGACAATCGTTAACAGTATACAACAACTTTCAAACTCTCTTCTTCAATAGACTACCAAAATCAGAAAGCTACTGTAAAACCCAGTGAAGTCTTCATCTGATGCTCTGAACAGGGAAAGTTTAGAATGAAGGTTGACATTTCACATTTAGAGTGTTGTTTAACAACTTTTCACAAGCCAACCCTGACTTTCAGGAAATGAAATGAAAATGGCAGAATTAATCTCAAGATCCACGGTGTAGAAAAGGAATTGCTGCTCTCTTGATGGATGCTATCTCAGTGGCATACTGGAAAGTCCAGATTGCCTAACATAATGGTAACCAATTTCTGAGGGTCAGGTCCCTGAGCTTAAGGGAGTTAGGTCTATGCTGAAGGCGGAGAGAGAGAAGAGGACATAAAAACAAATTTTAGTTTCTCCACACCACAAGACATTTGGGCCAAGGTGGCTATTTGGTAACCAATTTCTGAGGGTCAGGTCCCTGAGCTTAAGGGAGTTAGGTCTATGCTGAAGGCAGAGAGAGAGAAGAGGACATAAAAACAAATTTTAGTTTCTCCACACCACAAGACATTTGGGCCAAGGTGGCTATGTGTGTCAATGTCAAGGAATCCCTCCTCCCAGGAGCCAGGAGGAAGTCTCTCAGGACTAGAAGGGAAAGGTGTTTTCCCCACATTAATCCAGCTTTGGAGACATTCTATTAGTGACATATGCTCCTTCCCCTAAAAACAACAACCATGAAGTGTTCTGTGTGCTAACACCATAGCTTAAAAAAAAAAGTAAAGCGAAATTCTGCATTTTTATAAAGCTTGATAAAAAATAGTATTTCAAACTGTATAGTTACCAGAAGTACACAGTTATCAAAAATGCACACACTTCACTTGGCACCTCCAGCACCTTCAGCTTTCTGTGCCTGGTCTGTTTTGGCATCTCCACTTTCTGCGGGGTTATTCCCATCCTTGCCAGCATCAGCTTTTCCCTTTTTCTCTTTGGGTACCTTCTCTCCCTTTTTCGCAGGGGCCTTTTTAGGCTTGGGCTCTGGCTTTGGAGGAGCAGGGTTAGCAGACAATCTTGCAGATGTTCTCTGTGGTTCATCTTTCACCTTTGCTTTATCTCATTTAGTATCCCCTTCAGTCTTTCTCTTGGGCATGGTGGCGATGGCAGTGGGACGTCAGCGCTGGATGTGGGGATGCCACGGTGTGTGGGCTTTGTTTGGTCCGGGTGTTACGGGAAGAAGACACCAAAGGAAACTCAGTCACTCGAGAACACAGGTTTATTAAGCCGGCTGACTCAGGGGGATTAGAATTCCAAAGCCCTGAGTCCCGACTGCAGGGGGACTAGGCTTTTATACTTTCCTTGGGTAGGTAAGCAGCAAGCATTTCTATTGGCTCTTCTACCTGTCTCCAGGCAGAGTCCCCTAAATTGGGAGTCTTCTAACAGATGGTTAACTAGATTACTGTGGTTATGAGTTAAAACTAGGTAAAGAAGCTTTTTGGGTAAGAGTCGTTATCATACCTGGGTGCAAGGGCAGGAAGTGTAGTTGCTTGAGGAGGGGTCTGCTTTAGAGAGCAACTCTGTCTTCATCTACACAGGAAAGAGCTGGCAGTCAGTGGTTTCTTGCTAACCCAGGAACAGGCTTGTGACCACAGAGCTACAGAGTGCAGAAATGCATTTAGTTGTTCAACCCTTAACACACTCCAGATAAAGCTCACATATAGGCAAATATTAGCTAACACAATTCAAGCAAAGATAAAAACAAGGATTGAGACAAGGGAAGGACAAGGAATCTAGCCATTACACGGGGGTCATTCTTGCCTCTTCTAATTTACACTGCTCCCATGTAACTGTCTTGATTTGGTGTTAAGTCATTATCTTCCCCATGTACCTTCTGTGTAAAACTTTTATTTAGAATTCTTCACACAGATAACACTTTAATACATCTCTGGTAAAAATCAAAACTCATGGTAGTAAAACAAATTTAAATTGATCACTTCTGGACCCGGATCCACTTTACCGGTTGACTTAACTCTATGGGTCATGTTAGATTAGTTGTACTGACGGTCAAGTCCTGCCCTCCAATCCATTTATTATTTTAACTTTGAGCTAAGCATAGAGTCAGATCAGATTAATTGACTTAGAGCACTACTTAAGGCAAATGTATTAGACATGCTAGCATTTTACTAATTATAGTCTTGCGTTGTTTAATGACAGGAACGTGTTCTGAGAATTTCGTCATTAGGCAATTTGGTCGTTGTGCAAACATCACAGAGTGTACTTACACAAACCTAGTAGTGTATAGCCCAGAGTATGTGGTATGGCCTATTGCTCCTGTACAAACCTGTGCAGCATGTTACTGTACTGAATACTGTAGGCAGTTATAGCACAATGGTTTTTTGTGTATCTAAACATATCTAAACATAGAAAAGGTATGGTAAAAAAATAAAAGATAAAAAATGGCACACCTATATAGGGCACTTACCGTGAATGGAGCTTGCAGGACTGGAAGTTGCTCTGGGTGAGTGAGTGAGTGAGTGAGTGTGAAGACCTAGGACATCACTGTACACTACTGCAGACTTTGTAAATTCTTTACACTTAGGCTACTGTAAGTTTATAAAAAATATTTTTCTTTCTTCAATGATAAATTAACCTTAGCATACTGTAACTTTTTTACTCTATAAACTTTTGAAACTTTTTAAACTTTTTGACTCTTTTGTAATAACTTTGCTTAAGACACAAACACATTGTATAGCTATACAAAAATATTTTCTTTCCTTCTATCCTTATTTCATGAGATTTTCCTATTAATTTTTTAAAAACTTTTTTGTTAAAAATTAGCACATGCACTAGCCTTGGCCTACACAGGGTCAGAATCACCAATATCTCTGTCGTCCACCTCCGCATCTTGCCCCACTGGAAGGTCTTCAGGGGCAATAACACACATGCAGCTGTCACCTCCTATGATAACAGTGCCTTCTTCTGGAACACCTCCTAACGGAGCTGCCTGAGGCTGTTTTACAGTCAACTTTAGAAAGAGTACAATCTGAAGTATAACATGGTCAATATATACACCACCAGTAACACAGTCGTTTATTATTATCAAGTGTTATGTCTTGTACACAATAATTGTCTGTGTATACGACTGTCAGTGCAGTAGGTTCATTTACACCAGCATCACCACAAACAGGTGAGTAATGCCTTGTGCTATGACCACTAGGTGATAGGAATTTTTCAGCTACATTATGATCTTATGCGAATTCAGTCATATATATGACCTGTTAACGACCTAAACATTATGGGGTGCATGACTGTACCTTGTCTTGTGACTAAATACCATAACAGGTGAGTAATGCCTTGTGCTATGACCACTAGGTGATAGGAATTTTTCAGCTACATTATAATCTTATGCGAATTCAGTCATATATATGACCTGTTAACGACCTAAACATTATGGGGTGCATGACTGTACCTTGTCTTGTGACTAAATACCATTCCCTCACTCCCATTGGAAGAATTTACTTCTTTTTACTGTTTCAAAGGACAGGAGCCACTTGCTGAGATGACGTCTTAGCCAAGAACATTAAAGAGAAGCATACTTGTGAATATGATCGCATCTCTCAAAGAAACAATCTCCTGACTAGTTTTCTCCCTATTTCCGTGCTGTTTAATTTCTTCCCCTCGACACAATTTACTGCCTGTTTGGTTAAAGCAATTATATATTTGTGTTAATTAGATATTTGTTGTCTGTCCTGAACTGGAAGCACTTAGCTTATGATGGGAGCTGGCTCTCAGATGCTCTCCCTGAGCACAGCTCTTTTTGTTTTGCTATTTTCTCTGGGCACACTTGCTTTTCTGTCTCTTCAGCACTGTGTGTGGCTCTCTGAAAATACATCAAATGTAAAAGAGCCCACATAGCAGAACTTTTTTTGTACTGTCATTGAAAAATGTGTTGATCTGATTGTGCTGTTTTTTTTTTTCTTTAGTACCACAGAAGAGAGATGACCAACTAAGGAGGAAATACAAACATTTCCTCTCATTTACGACAATCTTGATCTGTTTACAAGGTGGCATGTGTGAAACATATGTAAGGAATAACAAAGAAATTTTCCAATGATTAACTACAGAAAGCAAAAGTCATTTTACAAAAGGAAATCACAAGAGACCTTTTTCATTAATGAAATAGTTTTCTAAATTTACAGCCGATACTGTTTTCTAGTTTTGGAAAGTGTGTCTGTGTGCACATGCATGTTTTGAGTGTGGGTGTATGTAAAACCATTTTTGAACCCTGGTATTGGCTTCCCCTGTACTCAGAAATAACACCCCAAGTGTGCAACTACTGGGCACAACTGACAGTGACCAAGCATTAAAGACTGGAGAGAAGCAGCGACGGGCTAAGAGAGTGAGTGCTGGCTTGCATGACAGCAGGAGCTTTCAAGTTCAAATGTAATTTTCCTTTTTCTTGTCCACCTGCTTGATTTGCATTACCCTGATCATAGGACCCATTAGAACGGAGATCCCATGGCAGCTGAAGATGGGAAGAGGAGCAGGGATATGTCTCCCCTCCATGTCCTCTTCTCTTTCCCACTGTCAATCAGAGCAGTTCTGTCATCTTCTGTGTCTCATTTCAAGCCACACAGTGGTGTCGTTTTCACCTCTTTTCCATTCTTCATTCTATACATGCACTTTATTGCTAAACTGAACTTCATTTTTGTTTCATGTTTTCCCCTCAGATCTCTCGCACTTTTTCTGACCTCCCTACACACACCTGTTTGGTACTTACCACTGTCATCGTTGCGGCCAGCATTATTTTCTTTGCCTGTCTCTTATGCCTCCGAAGTTCTTCCTAAAGTGCTCTTCCTATCTGCCCTCAAAGCTTTGCAGTGTTTGTCGCTGGTTATGTTCTTAGAACTCTGAGAACCACATACTGTACATCAGTGCCTGATGGAGCAAGCCTTGAACTGAATGTCCTTGGTTTCTGTTCTTTGGTTCATGAGTCTTTACACAAACCTGTCCCAAACTCTCATGAGTCATTTGAGTCCAAATGCCAATCCTTTAAGAAAACAGCTTCATGAGCCTTGATTATGTTTTTGCCATTTGAACTGTTAAAAAGTAAACTGAGGCATAACAAAATTTTTAAGAAGGATATTTGAGCAAATGGCAATTCATGATTCAGGCGGCTCCCAACCAGAGTAGGTTGGAGGCTCCACTGAGGTAACAGAAGGGAAGGCTCATATAGGGTGAACACAGGAGCAAATCAAAGAAAATATTTGATTGGTTACAGGTATACAGTTGCTTTATATTAGTCTATCTTGCTGGAAAGCTCCTAATTGTATAATTATGAGTTAGTTGGCAGCTTCTTTTTTTTTTTTTCCTTTTTGTCTTTTTTACTGACCAGTAACGGGATCGCAACCCTTGGTGTCGCGCCCGTACCGGGGACCGGCAACAGGATCGCAACCCTCGGTATTGTGCCCGCACCGCGCTCAGCCAGTGAGCGGGAACCGGTCTCCACATGGGATCTGAACCCTTGGCGGGAGCGCCGCCGCGCTTCCTAGCGGCGCACTCTCCAGTGCTCTACCGGGCCGGCCCTAGTTGGCAGCTTCTGATTGGTTAGCTTTAAATTTCATTTTTCTTTAACATAGACATTTTCAGGAAATAGTTCAAGTTTCACTTATGTTTGCAAGTCAAGCAAGATTAAGGTCACTCATGAGGCCTAACTGGCTTTGTCTGCTTATCCAACAAATTATGTCTCTCCTGTCATTAAACTGTCACCAAAACTTCTGCTTTTCCATGAAACTGAAACCTTTCTAGATTAACCAGAGGGGCCCTGCACTTTTCCTTGTGGAGTACTGGATTCCCAGCCACTCCCATGGTTATCCCAGCAACTCTTCCATTCACTTTTGACCTATCTGTGATGTCAACATAGCACATCCATAGATGATGTTCTTAACTGAGTATTGCAGAGGTCTGTAAGGGCCACTCTGTTGTAAGGTGTGTTCTGTGTGTGTGTGTGTGTCTACACCTGTGCATGTGCATGACAGTCTACAGATTTTGAGAGGACTCAATCAATGTATTCATTTACTTAGTGGCTGGCAAAACATTAAGTGTCTATAAGCACATAATTGATTCTTTGGGATGATGATGAAAGCAACATCA